TAAACAATGCTGGTTTTAAAGACACATGTCTATAATTTTATATTGGGCGGGGAGTAGAAGAGCCAGAAGCCCCTGTATTGAGCACTTTTCAGCGGCAGCTTCTTGTTCCATAGGGTTAAGGAAGACTTGGAGGAAATAAAAACTGTTTGGAAAACTCTGTTATAGTTGCTTCGTATGCTGTGATGGGTAGAAGGGATGGAGTGAAGGGGAGGGCGGCCTCACACCCTCCATCTTGCCTCAGAGGAGGTCCTGGAACCCTGGGGCTGAGAAAACACCACCTCGTTCCTGCCTCTTGGATTGTTGACGGCCGCGTGGTGATAGGGAAGGACCAGCAAGAAGCGCACCCTGACCAGCCGGCTTGCCTCTGACACCTGCTCGCTGGACACGACGCCGAGGGAAGCCAACAGTGCTGGTGTTTGAGACCTCCATCTCCACTGCTCATCTAGAAAGACGCGATGTCCTGCTAGCCTTGTCTGGGCACCCATGTGTGCACCCCGCCAGCTGCCAGCTCTTTGCAGTGCCTCCCAATGACACTGTCAGTTTCTTAAGCATGCTCTTCAAAAGCTCCAGGGGCACCCGCCTTGCTCTGCTGGCCACAGGGCTCAGTCCAGTCGGCACAGCAGGAGAAGCACAGGCATTCTTGCACCTTGGTCATTCCCCGAGCAGGATGCCTTGCAAAGGCATGTCCAGTCAGAGGGCTCTGCCACTGATGGCCGCCTTCTGCCTTCCCTCCCACTGGGCCCAGCAGTGATGATTCTGTTTTTCCCGGTTAAAATGCCGATTTGCCTGGGGAAAGCTGTAAACTCTGCTAGCCCAGTCTTCAAGAAAGTGCTGTAGACATAGGAGGCCTGGGGCAGGCCCTGGAGGGCTCCTTGTAGAGACTGGCACAAGGCTCTGCACTGACCCCGCCCCACCCCGCTGGGATACCCGGAGCTGTCACTGATGGTCACACCCACCCCCAGGACAGGCCCCCAGCTGGCCGTTCACCAGGCGGCTCCTACCCAACTTGGAGGGTCAGAGGGACCTGGGGCTGAGAGAGGATAGTGTGCACCTGCGTGCCCAGAGAGGGCTGAGCCTGTGCCCATGCGACTGCACTAGCATGTGTGAGTGTGAGTGTACGCTGTTACAGGCAAGCGTGTCTGTGTTGAGTGTGAGAGTATTTCTGTGTGTGCACACGAGTGTGTCTGTGTGTCTCTGTGTGGTGAGCATGGGTCTGAGCACACCTCTGTGCGTGTGTCTGCTTGCTCGAGTGTCCAGCATGTGCAGCAGTGAGCGTGTGCGCAGACAGGAAGTAGGGGGCCCACTGTTGCGGGTGCTCCTCACGTGTGAACACCAAACACACGCTAGCAGTCTAGTCTCTCCCGTCTAGGCCAGGCCCTTGGCCTCTGGGAGCCCAGGGGTCCGGCAGGGGGCGAGGCGGGCACCCATGTGCGGCACAGACCTTCATGACGGGCTGGGCGAAGTATCTGGCGCTCCAGTCACAGAAGCCCGTCTGGACGGCGGCCGAGATGAAGCTCTTGTGGCCGGTGGTGACGGCGTCATCGGCCTCGTCTGCCGTCTTGGGGCGGAGGAGACAGAAGCAGCAGTTAGTCAGCTCTCGCTCTCACTGTCTGCCAGAGACACGGCCTGTCCTGCAGGCAGGCCTGAGCCACCAGACACAGGGACTCCGCCGGGCTCTACAGAAGCGGGCAAGGCCATGCCACCCTCTCTCACTTCTAATCTGGGGATCCTGGGGTGGCCACAGCGCCCCTCCACCACTGAGGCACCTGGCTCCCCAAGGTGGCACCTTGAGGTGTGGGGTGGGGGTGCAAAGATTGGCGGCCAGCCCGAAGACCTGCCCTGGATGTCCCAAACAAAGGGGACATGCTGAGGGAGTCGCGGGGCATTGTGTAAATGGCGGGGCTTGGCTCCCTGGCCAGGGTGGGCATGACTGCCCACTCCAGAGCCAGTGGTCCCCACACACCCAGGGAGAGGTGGCCACACCCACAGAGTGCTGCAGCTGAAGGGGCTGTGGGGGCAGCTGGGGCACCACAAAGACCTGCGCCTCCTACCTGGTCTGGACCCTTGTCAAACATCTTGCGCGTCCGAGGGAACTGGTGGGAGTGGGGCGTGTACTGTGCCCCCACGGGGCCGGTGGTGCCCGGCCGGCCTGCGGGCAGGTCCCGGCTGGCAGGCTGCTTGGCCACATCGTTAGTCAGGCTGGAGCTGCTGGTACTGGATGTCGGTGGGGAGCCCCTGCCGGGAGAGCACCAGGCTCAGCAGGCCGTCATCCCTAAGGCCCAATGTCCTGCCAGGCCCCACCCTACCAGACGCTATCGGCCTGTCCTCGGCACCCGGCGTGCATGGAGTGTGTGCACGGAGTGTACATGTCAGAGTGGGGTGAGGACAGGGTGTGGGTCTGTGTGTGCATGGAGTGTACATGTCAGAGAGGGACGAGGACAGGCTGTGGGTCTGTGTGTGCATGGAGTGTACATGTCAGAGAGGGACGAGGACAGGGTGTGGGTCTGTGTGTGCATGGAGTGTACATGTCAGAGAGGGACGAGGACAGGGTGTGGGTCTGTGTGTACACGGAGTGTACATGTCAGAGGGACGAGGACAGGGTGTGGGTCTGTGTGTACACAGAGTGTACATGTCAGAGAGGGACGAGGACAGGCTGTGGGTCTGTGTGTGCATGGAGTGTATATGTCAGGGGGTGAGGACAGGCTGTGGGGTAAGTATTCATGGTGCACATGTCTAAGCAGGGGCAGGGTAAGAGGCCATCAGTGTACACAGTGTGTACCTGTCTGTGGGTGAGGAAGATGTGTACAGGTCAGAGGGTTGAGAGGAGGGTACAAGGTCCCATGGGGGGAGGACAAGGCAGGAGGTTCGTGTCAAGGTGAGCGTGTGCACTGCTGTCAGAGGCACTTACCCCACGGGGTGGAGGTGGGCGCCCTTGTTGGTGGGGCTGGCTGGGGCCGACTGTGTGAGGGAGGAGGTGTCCAGGCTGCGCTGGGGCCGGGCGTTGACCGTGGCCTGAGGAGCAGAGGCACAGGGACGGGCTGGGCTCACAAGATAAACACAGAGGTGGGGGCCCTTGGGTGGCTTCACACTGCGGGAAGCCCCATTGGGTGAGCGAGCCGGAGCCCCTGTCATGCCTCAGATGAACATCAGGGGACCCTGAAGGGCTTCTCTTAGTGGGAGATATGCAGCCCCCACCCCTCCCCCGGCATTGCTGGCACACAGGGACTGGGGCAAGCCTGCACTTGTAGAGCTCAGGCTGCTGGCAGCGAGCAGATGTCACGGTGGGCGTGCTATCTGCCGGGGTGGCAGTTGCAGCTTGAGGAGTGCGCAAGGCTCCTGACTGGGGTCCTGAAGGCCCCCAGGCCACGGCTCCTCCTGGAGCCGGCAGGGGAGGAGCCCCTCGAGTGGGCCTGGGCAAGGTAAAGGCAAGTGTGCCGTTCAGGAGCACGCCAGTAGTTGCACTGCGGCCAGGGGCAGCCTAGTGCTGGCCGAGTTCAGCATCAGCTCCGGAGGCGAGTCTGTGCGGTGTAGGTGTGGCTTTGAGGGCATACTCTCCCTTCCGGTTGCCCATGTGGCTTGTGTGCCTTGGGGTGAGCAGTGATCAGCCCTGGCCCCGGCTCCCCACTGAGGGCCCTGGGTTCTCCTCTCCCTATTCCCAGAATCTGGAGTTGCCCATGATCAGAGCCGATGGAAGTCTGGGACGACGGCAGGAATTACGGAGCTCTGCACAGTTACAGCACACCCTGGGCCCAAGGAAGGGAAATGACCAGGTGCTACCAGGCAGAGTTCTTGGGCTCTGTGGGGCCTTTCCCTCAGTGGGCAGCCACTGCTTTCCTGGATCTAGTTCTCAGGGGCGTGCCACGGGCACAGGCCGGCTCTAACCAGGCTGGAAGACTCCCCTAGGGGTCTCAAGCAGAAGCCACCCCCCAGGGCTGGCCTGTCGACTCCTTCCACAGCAATGTGTGCGCTGAAAAAGGCACCCCCCTCACATGCACATGAAGTACGTGGGCTCTACTGCATCCCAACACGAGTCCAGCCACTGAACAGTCTGCTAACGCTCAGAAGGACGAGGGCAGCGGTTATCAACCTTCCTAACGCCGCGACCCTTTCACAGTTCCTCCCTCATATGGTGGTGACCCCCAACCATGAAATTGTTCTCGTTGCTACTTCATAACTGTAATTTTGCTGCGGTTATGAATTGGGCAAACCCTGTGAAAGCGTCATTCAACCCCCAAAGGGGTCACGACCCACAGGTTGAGAACCGCTGGACTAGGGGAAACAGGATGCTTTACTCTCTAATTGGTGCCCAATGTCAGTGAAGAGAAGTTCATCTAACCACCTGGCTGTCTCCTTTAAAGGCCAGGTGCCTGGCTGCTCAACACGAGGCTAGAGGTTCAAGGCTGCCCAGGGGCACCCTGACCACCTGCTTCAGAAGCTGGCCCCTGGGCGTGCTGTGAGTATAGCTCTGTGAGCCGGGACGACACTGCACCAGTTGGCTGCTTTCCTCTGCGCCAGTGGCACAGGCACAAAACCTAGACGGTCCCTACTGGCTTTGAGGCTGCCCAGACATGAGAGGAGGGCTCCCTGGGGGAGGGCGGTAAACGTGGGGTCAGTTAACTTGGGCCGCTCTCAGCTGGCCAGCAGCCATGCTGGGCCATCAGCCCCGGGCGGGCGTCGTACAGAGACGAGCGGTGTCGTGTGTGTAGCGGAAAGCCTGCGGCTGCGCTGTCCCCAGTGCTTCTCTCCAAGCACAGGGATGGGCTCTGGCTGGGATTCTGCCTGTGTCCATGGAGGGCGGTCTGTCACTGCCTCCACACACTGAGAGGAGCGCAGCAGCCTTGGGGAGAGGGCAGGACCGGCCCAGGAACAGTCCGGGATCGGGGGATAGGGCAGGCAGGGCCTGCAAGGCAGTGGCAGAGGAGGACATGGGGCTCCGGAGTGCCAGGTGCCTGAAGTGAGCAAATCACAGGCTGAGGAGCCTGGTGGCATGAGGGCAGAGCCTCGGCCAGGGGTCTGAACCCGCAGGTGGCTGTATGGGAGTGAGACCTGGAGTGACCTGCCCATGGGGCTGAGGTGAGACTTGCTGGGCCAGAGGAGGACCGGGAATGTGCACACATCTTGTGAACTTGATATATCCCTTCATACTGCTGTCAAAACTCTCCTGTAAGTCAGAAATTTTTATTAAAAAGGCATGGAAAAGATCAGAAAGAATTCCATCAGAGCTTAAAATTCTGAGCACCCAGTTTGGAGAAGGCTATGGGTGACAGTAAAGGCCCCAAATCCACTTGCAGAGTCCCTGTGTTGGTCCGTTGAGCGGGGCATTGTAAGGGCACCACTGTGGATGGAGTTACCATTTGTCTTACCTTTGGATCCATTTTTGACTTGTTCTAGTGGGTGTCTTTTAAATGGAGGACTTCTGTGTTTTATTGTGGCTGTTTGTTTGGTTTTGTAGGGGGTCTGACTTTCTTGATAGGCAACCCAGGATAGGTCAGTCTACAGACAGTCATTGGACCAATAGTTTCTTAGGGTTATGACAGGAGGTTGGAGGCAATGGGGAGCTAAGAATAACAGATACAAGAATGAGGAAAATGGTCTAAAATTCATTGTGTTACTGATTGCACAACTCTTTTTAATATATTTAAGCCATTGAGTTATACGGTACATGAAGTATATGTCAATAAAACAGTTAGAAGCTACAGAAAAACAACAACAACCCGCAGTGCTGTAAGACATGACTTCTCGTCTCATTCGTGAAGGGTCACCTGCTGCGTAAACGGTCTAGAAACAACTAGGTAATGTAGACAGTGACGCCTGAGCCCGCAAGAGACACCCGTGATTGCCAATCACAGCCTGCCGGCTGTCGAGGCAGGCTCCAGATATGGCACCAAGAAGGGGCCAGGCGGGTGGGGTGCGGTGCAGTGAGCTGGCTGGGGTTGGTCGGGGCAGCGAGTCCTGAGAGGAGGAGGTCTTGAGCCTTTGACCGTGTGCTCTCTGCTCGTGGTGGGAAGGAAATCATTTTAAAAGAGCTACCAGGAGGCAGCTGGCCAAGTAAACTGATTGGGAGTAGCCTGCCATCCCCAGAGGAGAAAGGATCTGACGAAACAAGACGAAGAACAACTGAAGTTCAGGGTGAGCAGAAATGGAAGCAACACAGATCATCCCAACCATCGAGAAGTTAGGAGGAGGGCAAACAGTGCAGGACGCCATCAGTGTCAGGAACGAAAGAGGGGCCAACACTGCACCTCTGACAGACGGAGGCCCAGGAGAAAGTACCACCCTCTTGTCTGACTGCCCGCTGCAATGGAAGAGCCAAGGAAGGCCACACAAATACAGCCTCGGCTCAACTATCACCCCCTGGGTTAAAATGGCCGGAAATGGGTCAGTGTGTGGTCCTCTCTGGCCACTGTGAGAGTCAGGAGCCCCTCACACCCACCTTGTAGGCGGTGCTGTTGAGCACTTTCATAGCCAGGTCAGACACGTCTGGGTAGGGGTCCGCAGCCAGGTGCAGCAAGACTCTCCAAATTTGAGTGTAAACACTGTTAAAAGAAACTCCTGGGGAAGGAAAAGCAGACACGTTAGTAGCATGCAGCTGCCACGGCACACTTTGCTGAGGAATTAGCAATGCTACCAGGAAACACTACTGAAGGGCATCTAGGAATTTGCTGTTCCGCTGACCAGTCCTGCAGAGACTAGGGGAACCCTGCTGATAAGGAGGCCTGCGCTCACTGAGGGCATCTTCTGGGCCGAGGGAAGCTGGGCTCACGAAGGGCAGGCTCCCCTGAAGTGCCTGTGGTTGAGTCAGGCCCGGCCTGAGGGACGTTCGGCTTGTAAGAGTCCTGCGTGGAGGGGTCACGGAGGAGAGACCCTCCCACACAGTGGTGTGCACACTTGTGTTGCTGCCAATGAGCTTGCAGCAGCCACAGCACCACAGTGCTGCTCGGGCTCCCGGGATGGCACAGGAGGCGTGCCTGGCCTCTGCCCTCAAAGACCTCCCGATCATCAGAGAGCAAGGACCCAGGAAGCTGCCCGACAGGACCGGGCATCCACTGTGGTGGGTCGTGCCCAGGAAGGGCAGCTACACTGCCTGAGGGTCTGACAAGTGCCTGGTGGCCAGATGCTGGTTCCATCCAGTGGCCCGAGGGACAAAGACTGGGCGGAACAGGTCTGCTTCTGTACAGATCACCCTCTGGAGCAGAGCTGCTCTGATACATCGGCCAGAGAGTCAGGGTCGCTGGGACTCGGCTCCCGTGGAGGCCCCCCACTCCCACCAAGAGCCCGGGTCATGGACCTGCTTCCCTATGGATACACGCTCCCGACAGAGCCCCAGTCAGTGGTTACCATGGGCCTGTGGTGTGGGCCCTCCTCCCTGCATAGAAAAAAGCCCTCACTTGGGGAACAGACACGGCAGAGGCTACAAGGCCGCACACTCACGGCAGTGCAGGCCTCCTGCACGCACCGTGTGGGGCCTTTCTAGTGCCCTGAGGGAGGACAGAGGGAGGGACACTACTTGCAGGGCTGCAGCAGCGTCAGCATGGGGCGTCCACGGAACCTGACCCAACCACTGCCTATGAGTCGATTCCCATCCACAGCAAGCCCCAAGGACCGAGGGGGCTACCCCCAAGCTCCCCAAGGCCACCGCCTTCTGCGTCCTTAGTGAAGGCTCATGCGAGCGGGACGGGACGGCTGGGGGAGTGGTGGGGCTCTGCGCAGGCTCCGCGTCTTGAAGGCCTCTGTGAGCACGGCTGCTCCGGGGAGGGGAGCACGTGCTGGCTTCTCAGTTTT